CACCCCCTGCCTCTGGTTCCCGGGACGCCGGCCTTTGGCAGCCCTTTTGCTTGGCTGCCTGCCACTGGACATTTCTGCCTCTCCCAGGACTGCGGCCTGGAGCTCAACGACGAGGACGGCCACCGCTGCTACCCCCTGGAGGACCATCTCTTCTGCCAGCCCTGCCACGTCAAGCGGCTGGAGAAAGGCCCCTCGCCCGCAGCCCTGCACCAGCACCACTTCTAGCGGAGCCTCCCCCGGACCGCGGGGCGGTTTTTTTCTTTTTCTTTTTTATTAAGTTGTTGCTTATGTGTGCTTCTCTCCCCATTGCGTGGGCGGGGGGAGGGGGAGGCGTGGCCAGCGAGTGCCTGCGCGCATGCGTGGGGCCCTTCCCTTTCAACCCTACCCGTCTGGGGTGTCTATTTCCTAGGGCCTTGCTCGCCGCCCTGCGCGCATCAGAACGCTCAGGAAGACGCGGCAGCAAGCGGGCTGCCAGAGACGGGAGGTGGTCGCTTCAGAGGGCAAGGTGTGCGCTGAGCGTATTCATAATATCTTGGGAGAGAGGGTCCAGCTGCCGATGCATTCAACCCTTCCTCTCCCTCCAGGGAAATATTGCACCCCCCGCGCCCCCCCACCCCCCCGCCCACGCGCGCGCTTAGAGTGATTTAGGACTTCCTTCCCCCGCAGAGCTTCATTCCGTGGAAGGGCTGCAAATTGTAATGGTGTTAGGGCGAGAGGGAAGCCCGAACACGTGCTCTGCATCTTAGGGAGCATTTTCTCGGTGAACCAGAGCCAATGCCGAAATAAACGAGATGGGGGCGCCCTCCAACCCCCCGCCAGCACTCTGCATGTCCCCGCAGATCTGCACTCCCTGTGGGCAGTCGGGGGGGTGGGGGGGCTGGCGGAGACCTGCCCCGCTCTAGCCTAGCGGAGTGCCCTGGGACAGAGAGCTTGGTGCGGGCACCAGGCCTCTTGGCCCACCGTTTGCCCTTTGCCCCTCTGGCGCTCTCCAGGGTCTGTGACTTGGGAGTCGCTTAGGCAAAGGCAGGTCTCAGGATCCCACGTGCCCGTTCAGCTCAGGTCAGGCTGGGCTTCTGGAAGTCCCGCGTCCTGAGAGCCACCCCCTTACCCACAAGGAGTGTGTGTGCGTGTGTGAGGCCTCCCGGCCCGGTGGAGGGCGCGCCTGAGGATAAGTTATTACAGTCATTTCACGGGTTTCTCTCTTGCCCCAGTCTTGGCACCGGCATTATTACATTGGAAGAAACCGGTATTAGGTACAGTGCTTTTGTCTTCTTTTGTCTTAACCGTTTCCCTCCACTTTCAGTCTTCCACACACACCAAATACCTCACAGATACAGCCTCGCAGGTCAAGGAGGAAGTGGGCCGCCGCCGTGGGCTCAGATTCCTTCTTCGGTGCCTTAGGAATGTCCAGCTTCATGCCGGCCACACTCCAGTGGGTCAGGGCCCTGTGCCCCTAACCAAAGGCCAGCAGGGAATAGGCGGAAACTGGGTGCTACTGCCTTACCTATTTCTTCGTGCTGGCTCCCGGGGGGTGGCATGGTCTGGAGGGCCACCCCCTGGCGAGTTTTCAAGGCAACTTCTGAACTGAGGAGGCACAATTTGCCTTGCATGTCACAGTCCTGAGGCCAGAGGTCAGGATCCCGTGGTATTTCAATAGGAAGATACATACGTTCATGTTTGTCAAAGGTGGGCTGGCACTTGCCCTCTCAGCCTGTGGAGAGGGACTCGGAGCCTTGTTGCTGGAGCACCGGGGCCATCTCACCACGGCCAGCTAGGCTGGAGCACAACAGCTGGCGTCTGCCCTCTGCCTCCTCACCTGGCACCCTGAGCCAGGGGCCTGGGGGACTGGGACCGAGGAGGGTGGTCAGGGGAGACACCCAGGGACTCCCAGACTTTCCCCCTGGCCCAGCTTCCCTCCCAGGTCACGGTTTTGGCTCATTCTGTAACAGTTGCCTGTAAGATGCGAGAATTGACACCATGGGTTGTTGCATGAAATTCATTCTACTGGGGTCCTTTGGCCAGATGCCACTTCCAGGCTGTGTGCTATCATTGGTTCCTTTTCATAGGCTGAGCCTCCTGAAAACCTGTGAATGAGTGGGGCCGGGGAAGGGACCCCTGGGGCCACACCCCTCTCTCCCCATCAAGTCATCCAGTTTAGCCTGGGCAAGGCTGTGGGCAGAGGAAGCCAGCCAATGCGTCTCAGCCCGTCTTTGCCAACCACGAATGTTTCTGGCCTCGCGGACTCACCTTTGTTCCACTTTCGAGTCCAGCGAGTGAGCCACTGACAGAAGGAGGAGGCGTTTGTTTGCAGATTGGGTAACTCGTTAGTTAAATCTGTGATTCAGTCTTTGAGATTTTTAAAATAGCCTTTATTGGGGTGATTCAATATGGCATTTTTTTGTGTCATTGAAGAACAATGAGAATTACCAGACGAAACCCAAGCAGCAACCTCTCTCGTGATCCGCATCCCTGGAGAGGGTACCAGGCAGGACTCTCGAGTTTCTCTCTCCTGCTCGGGCCCTTGCACATAAGCCACAAGGAGATGTTCACCTACCTGGTTATTTTAAACATTCTGTGCGTTATTAGCCACGTGGACCTGTAATGAGGTTGTACTTAGAAAACAAGCGCCTGGTAGACCAGGATGAATATGTTGGTTGTAAAAGTTAGAGCAAAAAGCCCTTCCCAAGTTCCCTAGACAACTCTGACTTTAGCTAATTGAGGAGAGAATTATGGCCTGATTCCAAACCCCAGCACCAGCCTCCAGCCTTCTCCCTTGCCTCATTGCCCTTTATTTTTTATTTTTTGCCTCCCATCGCCTCTCCCCCACCCCCTCAGGTTGGGCCTTTCAAAAACTGCCTGGGTGGTCTAAAGGTTGTAATCCCGGGTTGGCCGGCTCTATCAGGATCTCTGTCTCCCATGTTTCCCATCGGTCACTGAGTAAAGAGTGATTTATCCATCTCTCACCATGGCAGCGCCTTTAGTCCTGTCCCTGTCACTGCCTGTTGTCCCTGCCCTGCCCCCACAGGACTTGACTTGCTCGGTGGTTAGTGCTGGAGTGACAGCCCTGTTCAGCTGAGTCCTGAGGTTATGCCATTGAGTCCTGGGTGGTGGAAGGGATTGTCGCGGAGTTCCATCACCTTCAAGGGCGGCCATCGCCTTGTTTCCATGGGCTTGGGAACTTACAAAAGGAAAAACAGGAATGTTAGGACTTGAGAATTAGCCACAATCCTTTGCAGGCCGTCTTCTTGTGCCACTTCCTGTAAGTGTGAAAGTGTGAGAACCGTGAGGGCTGCTGATACTCTTGCAAAGAATGTGTGCGAGACTTGCCCCCGAAACCGTGGTTGCTTGGTGCGGTTGTTAATAAGACCCTGTCTGCCAGGAAAACCAAATTCTTGTGCTCTTCTTTGTGCCACGAATAGTCCTAATTTCCCAGTGACTATTGGAAGTAACTGTTTAAAGTAATAGATAAAAAATGAACAACATATATTGGCTAGCCATTGTTCTGAGCCAGAACGGGACAGATGTGGGAAATTTCCATCGAGAGTATGAAAATGTCACCTGTGCAGAGAAAATGCCTTTCCTTGGTGTCTCTTTTCTACAAATTTATTCAAAAATTTACTGTTTCTATAAAGTTATGCACAATGTTGTTCCTATAAAATTATTTGAAGTTTTACTGTTTCTATAAAATGATTTTAACATGTCATAACAATAAAACTGCATCAATTTGTAGACCATTAAAGTGCTCTCCAACTTGATAATGTTGACTGGGTCTTTTGTGTGTGGAGTAGGAAGCTCATTGTAAACTGGTAATGATGAGAAACATTGATCAGCTGCCTCCTGCACGCCCCCTACTGGGGATCAAGCTTGCAACCCCGGGCATGTGCCCTGAACCAGAATTGACCCCCCCACTCTAGAGCTCTGGATTCTTAAAGGAACATATGGGTGTCAGAACGGGGAAGGGACTGAAATTTTGTCCTGAGATGACCATGTTTCAGTCAATGGTGGATTGCACATACAAAGGTGGTCCCATATGTTATAATGGAGCTGAAAATTTTATATTGCCTAGTTATGTAGCCGTCAACATCCTCCTGCAATGTACAAGAGATGAGGTCTTCTGATTGCTAACTAGCAAGGGATATGGGAGGGAGGAGCATATGGGATCACCATTCCTGCCCAGAGAGGGAATGGCCCTGTGTCCACTCATGTGGTCACCCTCTGGTGTCCAATAAGGCCACTGGCAGAATGGATTTGGGGTCAAGAGCCCAGATTCAAGGTCTAACTCAGGCTCCACCACCTAACTGCTCAATGACCTTAAGCAAATTTAGTTTCCTGATATTTAAAAATGGGGATTACAACAGAACTAACCTTAGGGAATTGTGGTAGTATTGAATTAGTCCAAGTAAAGAGCTTACAGCCTTAATTGCATAATAAGAGTGACAGGGACCTAGCCAGTTTGGCTCAGTGGATAGAGCATCGGCCTGCAGACTGAAAGGTCCCAGGTTTGATTCTGGTCAAGGGCACATGCCTGGGTTTTGGGCTTAATCCCCAGTGTGGGACATGCAGGAGGCAGCCAATCCATGATTCTCTCTCATCATTGATGTTTCTCTCTCTCTCACTCTCTCTCTCTCTCCCTCTCCCTTCTTCTCTGAAATCAATAAAAATGTGTGTGTGTGTGAGTGTGTGTGTGTATATATATATATATATATATATATAGAGAGAGAGAGAGAGAGAGAGAGGCTCTAAGCTTACTTGATTTTTTCATTGGAATGACCAACAAAATAAATTACAAATGGAGTAAAAGTAAATGGAAAAAAATAATACAAACACAAAACAATTTGAAAAGAGCACATATGCAATAGAGGAAACCATAAAGTAAAAAATATTGGTACATTGGAATATAAGAAAAAGGTAAACAATAAACTGGAAAAGACTGCAATGCAATCTTTGATAGTAAACAATTCATATCCTTTATATTAGAAAAAGTCTAAGAAATCTGCAAGAAGTCATTGAATGCCTACACCAAGAGAAAATATATACATCAAGTAAAAGGAACTTTTTTCAATTATGAAAATTGCAAGGAAATAATGAAACTTGTAAAACAGTGCTGATTAGAATGCAAGGAAACATGTTATTGATAGAAGAGTTTATTGGGGGTTTTTTTTGGAGGGCAATTTTAAAATATGTACCATGGGGTAAAAATGTCCATAAAATGGACCTTAAAAATGAACATCTGATCATTTCACGTGTAGAAATTTATGATGTATATGAAATAATTCAACACAATTCTTTTTAAAAAGTGTAAAACTGACAACCCAAATTCCCAACAAAAGAGTAATGCTTAAAATATTCTCTAATGAAATATCTTGGGAGAATATTTAATGGCCTTAAATCTCAGGCCAAAAGCTAAAGGGACAAAAAGAAAACAGACATTTCTGGTACAAGCGGGGATTTGGAAAAATACGTGTGGGTAGATCCATATTAAAAATGTGGAAGAAAAAGGCCTCTAGGGGGGGAAATTATGATGTTAATAGTAATGATCTCGCGATGAGAACTGGCATTGTTTTTATTCCCAATAATTTTCGGTAGTTTACAAATTTTCTACATTTCCTCAGGAGGAAAACACGTTATATTGGACAGATTAATCAATCGATGTGTGTGACTGGTTAATGGACAATGTTGGATGTCTCGGCCATTCCCGGGCTTCGAGTCCCCTCTCCACCGCAGACGTTTCGGGCTTTCCCAGGTCTCTGAGCCAGGCACCTATATGAAGGGACTAGACGCGATTGCCTGGGTCTTCTTACCGTAAAAACACCGTATCTTAAGGTTTCCCTATGGCATTGGGGGGCCAGGTTACCTTGGGACTCGGAGATCTCAAAGGACAGGGTTGCAGACTCCTTGCACCGCGCAGCGGCTCAGAGGCGCGCAGCCGCACTGCAGCAGTTCCTTCCCCAAAGCGGGTCGGAGCTCGAGCCCACCCCACCACCCCTGTAACCTGACAGTGCACCGCTCTCCATACCACCGCCCGGCTTCCCTTCCACGGGGAAAAGACCAGAACTGCAGCGCTCAGTGCGCCTTTGCGTCATCCGGTGGCTAAGCTCCGGTCATGGTACGCTCCCCCTCCCCTGCCCACCGCACTCCAAACTGCTACCTTTCCAGCTGTGTCTTCCTAAATGTGCCCCATTTTACAGAGACTTTTCAAGTGGATCATTACTAGGGAGCTTTGCAATTTACAAACCATCTCGTACAACTCCGGGTTCCAAATACAGCTTAAAAGGTGACATTTCGGGCAAAAATAACATTAAGATTTCAGATATTTGGCCTTTACACTTTAATCATAAATCCTCCCCAAGAAAGGCCTGGATCATCTAACCCAGGTGGGGCAAAAATGTACACCTCGAGCCAGCCAGGAGTCGAACCTAGAATCTTCTGATCCGTAGTCAGACGCGTTATCCATTGCGCCACTGGCCCGGTACACCCCAAACTCTCGCAGCAATGTAGATTACCGCTTACGCAGTTTCAACAGGCTTCCTGACACCAGCGCTGCAATTCCGCCGCAGAGCCAGCCTAGGGCTCCTTAGGCTCCTCCTTCCCCCTGCAAACCCGCTCCGCCAATCCGCAGCGGCGACGTCATTGCGCTCCAACCCTTTACGTGCGACACGTCTCCTGCGTGCGCTAGTGCGCG